TCATTTGAAGATGAACCTACCATGGGGTTTTCTTGGCAAAATGCATTTATAGGAGATTGGCCTTTGTCTTATGAGGGTAACTTGCCTAAAGCCATCCAGTGGGTTTCTGTGGCTGAGTAAGAATTCAAGTCCAACATTCAAACCTTGAGCTGGCTCCCTAGTCTGTGTACTGGCCTCCTTTAAAAATGTATAGGTGGTTACGTATTTCTCTTTTAACCACAGCTATACCTAATCCAGTGTTTTCTTTTATTATCAACTAGTCGTCCCCTGTCACGCGTTGCTGTGGCCCAGTCTGGTGATGTGGAAAATAAAGTAATTATTTCTAATAGATGTAATTCCTTTTGCTTGTGGGTAAATGGTATTCCTTGCTGTTTCTTTGTCAGTGTTGATGTGGAGATTGTCTGGTTTGCCTACTCTAGAACATGCGACATATAACTGTCCTTCTTTAGGGGTCCCTTTCAAATCAATGATACCATCTGTGTGTGTGTGTGTGTGAATCATATCTATCTATCTATCTATCTATCTATATTTATGACTGGATGGCTCTTTGTCAGGGGGGCTTTGATTACGTTTTCTTGCCCTGGAAAAGGGAGTTGGACTGGATGGCCTTAAGTATGGTGGTTCTGTGTGGGAAGTTTGCCCCAATTCTGTCATTGGTGTTCAGCATGCTGTTTGATTGTAGGTGAACTATAAATCCCAGAAACTACAACTCCCAAATGTCAGGGTCTATATCCCCCAAACTCCACCTGAGTTCACATCTGGGCATATTGAGGATTTGTGCCAAGTTTGGTCCAGATCCATCCTTGTTTGAGTCCATAGTGCTCTCTGGATGTAGGTGAACTACAACTCCCAAACTCAAGGTCAATGCCCACCAAACCCTTCTAGTATTTTCTGTTGGTCATGGGAGTTCTGTGTCCCAAGATTGGTTCAATTCCATCACTGGTGGAGTTCAGAATGCTCTTTGATTGTAGGTATACTATAAATCCCAGCAACTACGACTCCTAAATGACAAAATCAATTTTTTGAGTGAAGGACATACATTGGGTTGTTAGGTGTATGCTGTCCAAATCTGGTGTCAATTCGTCAAATGGTTTTTGAGTTTTGTTAATCGCACAAACGAACATTACATTTTTATTTATATAGATTCATATATGACTTTCCTTAAAACCATGGCAAGCATGGACCAGAGCTCTCCCTTCATGAGAAAATAACAGTCCCTACAAAAGGTTACTATCCAATCACTCTTTCAAATGCCTCAGGCGCTTGCTTCTGCCACAAAACTTCTAATCTATAGGCATCCTGGGGACTAAAGAAGAAAAACAATGCCACATTTTATTCAATGCTTCGGTAGATCAGATTCACCAGAACAGAGTGTGCAAATGTGCACTGTGAGGTCTTGGAATTAGTGGATTTTAAAAATGCCCATATTTAAGCAGTTCACAATTTCACCTCAATTCGATCATTTGTGAAATGAACACACAGCAAGGTACTGGGATGCTTCATTTTCAAAACCTTTCTCCCCTATCTCTTGTTTAATAGCTCTTACCATCATGTTTAGCTTCTGCTCCTCCTCCTGCAGATGGGAATTCACTGATATGATTAAATTTGATGGTATGATAATGTATGGTAATAGTGATTAATCAGAAGCCTACTAGCAAATGGAGGATGTTTGTTATTATGTCACCTGCATTTTAAATTGCATTTCCCCTCTGCCAGCCTGACAATGTTTGACATCGTATGGGCGGGGGAGGGAACCCTATGTTGCGTCCGCTTGCGATCACTTATAGATCTGATAAGAAACACTCATTGCTGCATCACGATCGTAAGAGCTGAAATTGTAGAACCAGGAAGACAAGTCATGAAAATGGCAAGTCCTCATAAGGAAATCGTACCGACAGAAACTAAAGAAGCTCAGTTGCACATCTGCAGGGCTATAATAGGAGAGGAATGTAATTTGATTCAGCAGTCTCATTCAGACATGATTTGCATGAAATGCTGTATAAAGCTCTATCCAAGAAATGTCAATCATGGCCACCTGATACCTTGTATCATGTTAAAAAGAAAACAAAATGCTTTCCAGAATACGTGGATTGAGCCAGCGCCACTGCACAGTAATAGAGTGAAATTTTCATTTACTGTTGCTGTTCTAACAACATTGCCATTACAAAAGCAGAATCACTTGGTAGTGGAGCAGGAGACAGGAATGGCTTTTAAAAATTTTATTAGATGTCTGATACCTACAAAAACAGCATAACAAAAACATAAAAACTAACACTTATTACCAATTCAGAAGAGCAGCCGGAAGGCACTTAAAAAACTTAGTCGCAAGCAGTTACTCACACATTAAGCTTTTAGGTGAATGCCAGGATTAACTGCATCTTTCAGTAAAGCATAAACAGAGCAAACAATAGTCATGACTTGCCCTGTTTATTTTGCTGTAAAAACTCAGGTGCAGTTGCTGCTCTGGTTTACTTCTTTCCCAAGCAAGTAAAGATAAATCCACAAGCAAAGCTAAAACTAACCACGGATTTTGTGTTGGGTTGTTGGAAGAGAAATAAAGTACCAACTGTAAACCGTCCCGAGTCGCCTGCGGGCTGAGAGGGACGGTATATAAATGCAGTAAATAAATAAATAAATAAAATCAGAAGGGCCATTGCATCCTACTTGAAATGACATGACAGAACATGGAGGAAGTCCAAGGAATCAAGCAATTTGGACTACCATGGGGCTCATCAACCGTAATCCAAAAATGCTCAAAAATGGCCTCTAGTTATTGGAAAAAGCACAAATTATAAGGATGTTAACTACAAGGATAAACTTCAGATTCCCAGGTTTGGTTTCTAACACAAGAATGTGTTTTGATCAATGAATTTTAAGCCTGAGGTTACACATTTCCTCCTGTGGTTGGAAAAGAATGAAAGCTTAGAAAAAAAAGATATAAATTCAAGGGAGGGTGTCTTGGTTTAACAACAACAACAACAACAACAACAACAAATCAAACCACAGTAGCTGACTGATTCAACGAAGAGACAACCACGTACGCCTGAGCATTCACTATAGTTCCTTTTTAAACATTTAAGCTGTTGTCTGTTAGAAATATATCCACCGATGACTGACGAAATGAAAGACAAGGACATTTTTCTACTTTACTCCAATACTGATGCCATACAGAATCCACCTGCCTCTTGATAAACGTATGGTAAGAATAGCAAATAGCTTAGGCCTATGGTCTAAGTCTGGTCCCTCAAGCAATAATTCACTGCATGTGTATGTATGTGCCTTCAAGTCGCCAGCTGACTTTGGATGAAGCACAAATTTCATGGGGCTTTCATAGGCAAGGATTACTCAGAAGGTGATTCTGCCAGTTCCTTCCTCTGAAATATGGTCTACAGCACCTGGGATTTGTAGATGCTCTACTATCCAAGTACTAGCCAGGGTTGACCCCGCTTGGTTTCCAAAATGAGGCAGAATCTGATATCTTCAGGGGACCAGTACAGCATTACCAAGCATCGTTAGTAACTCATTCCACTCTTTTACTTTTAAGGTTCATTATGTCACAGTGCCACAGGCAGTCAGAAAAACAAAACAAAAAATAATACACTACTAAGGTAACATTTGAGAAAATCTTTCAAATAATATATTCCTTCGTTGGGACAACTCCGCCTGAAAACATCACACCAAGGCTCATAAGCTTTGTATTTATACCCCTTATGTAGATGAATCTAAGTTCTGAAATAGTGTCTACAAATGAGTTAACACCTTAAAATGAACTGGATAGCTCTGGTTCCTATAGGCTTCATCATATACAAAGCATTAAATGAATCTAATAATGATGGTACAAAAGATTATTTTAATAAGCTTTCACATTTCACTGATTTGCAGACCTAAAACCCGCACATTCTAGAGAAAGAAAGGTGACCAATATGATACTACGAAGTTCTTGATCCAAAAGAAGATTCATCCCATGAATCCCATCCTTCAACATCTCCCTCACATAAAATAAAATGAAGACCTTTTTAAAGATACTGAATTGCCCTTAAGATCCACATGATCAACAATTATAGAAACATATTTAAGGGGGGAAAATCATGCAAGACTATAGAAATTTAATCTCATATTCTAAGAAGTACATTTTTAAAAAAAAACTAGCTAATTTTGTGTAAATCTATTGACAGGCAGACAAAGGCGGTGTATAAATTTTAAGCATGCTATCTCCCCATATTGTTTTATGTACAGTTTCTCTTGATTCCAAGAGCATGGAAAGAATGCTTGAAGTGTGATCACATTATTCTGGCAAATGAAGGCAATAATACCCTCTATGTGCTTCGATACTCTGAGTGAAGAAACTGCAACTGAAGTAATATAAGGCTGAAAAAAACTCATTTTGAAAAATTTACATATTACAGGAATGTGAATGGCAGGGGATGTATGTGTATTCAATGTCATTCAGAGAAGTAAATCAATCAAAGGTGGTGAATTAGCCAAGAGAAAGAGGTGCCTAGTGTGTTTTAGAAGCCAAAAGATAAGAAAGGGGGAGTGTCAGGCAATGTCAGATCAACTTCTGATATTCAATGCTTAAAATCACTACAAAACAAGAATTGATCTTTACATTTGCACAAGACATTTTTCATCTGACTTTCAACATGGAGCATGCAATATGCCCTTTTTATTAAATAAGCAATCCGTCTATTTGTATTGAAAGGGCTGTAATGGACAAAGGTGTATCTTAGAGAAACCCAAGCCCAGCACTATAATAAAAAAACCTCCCCATTGAAAAAACTAGTTCAACAATTTCTATAATTAAGCAAAATTAATTCTGCTCTCAAAAATTCATTGACCTTAAGCTTTTAACAAACAATTTTCTAACTCACAGATCATTGTCAATATTTACAAATCCTTAAAATTATATTTCACTGGCACAGCCTTTATTTGCCATATTAATATTTCTTTGCAAATGTATGCTCATCCATATCAGAGAAGGAGAAACAGCTGCTACTCACTGGAAATCTCTGGGGTCCTACAGCAGGTCTTGGCTGGGTGGGGACTGGCAGCAAGGGCACTAAAAACAAGGAACATACTCTTTAGATCAATTTGTTTTAGCCGAGAGTCCAGATCACTTTTATATGCAGTCACATCCATAAGCAGCTGCCTCCCTATTTCCCCCAGGGTCACTGCAGGCAGGCCAAACCTTTTAACCCCATGCAACAGGACAATTAGGATACTAACGGCACCACTACAAAATGTCTCCATTTTGTAGACTAAACCTACAAATAATTAAACTACTCATCCTAGGTATATTTTCTAAAGCAGTGGTTCTCAAACTTTTTTGGATCAGGGACCACTCTCCAACATTAGCACCAAAAGGGTTACGAATCAGTTGTTGGTCAACTTCAGATTTGGTTTGGTTATTTGGGGTGCTAATTCAGAAAACCGCATTGGATTGACCACATCAGCTGTAGTTTCTGATACAGAACATATGCCATCCAGTAGTCGCCATCTGCTCACCCACAGAAAACCATATTTAATAATCTAGAGCTGATGTGGTAGTAGTCTTTCATGGGTAGTCAGCTTCTCCCCTCCCGACATCCCAGTTGCCTCGGCACCATATGAGGGTTCTGTGAGACCAGTCACTCTCGTTGCCGTGTAGTTTCAAGGCAATGATGAGGACATTGCCTTGACATAGCCTAGTAATGGTGAGGACACGGTCCATATTTTCATTATTGCGGACCACTGGTGGTCCACAGACCACAGGTTGGGAACCAGTGTTCTAAAGGAATGCTGTTGTGTTGGTTCCAAACAGTGTCACTATGGAGTAAGCTCAACGGACTTCAATTGCACTTTCTTTGGAGAACACATGGTTAGGATTGCGCTGGAAGTTAACTGCCTTACTTTTTTTTTTATTTTGTACACTTTTTCCTTCACGTTTTCAAGTGGTAGATACTACCCAATAACTCGACTCAATGACAAAATTTTAACAACAATGCATCAGAGACATGCCATGTCTTCCCAAACAGCCAGATGCAACAACAAGGATAACTCAATTATGGAATTTCAACAATGATCTCAAACAGTGTCACTGACTTCATATGCACTTTCTTTGGAGAAAACAAGGATTGCACTGGAAGTTAACTAACATGCATTTTTTAAAATTTTGCAAGCTTTTTTCTTTACATTTTTAAATACCAAGCATTCCAACAATGAATTGTACAAATTTGGTCAAAAGGAAAAAAGGGAAACATGCAGAAACTAATGACAGCAAATCTATGGGACTCAACCTGTTCAAAATTTGCCTTTTTAAAGTCACTGTTCAATGGGTAAATCCTGTTTCTGCCGAAGTTCATCTTAATTACAAAAATGCAGAATACAGACATTTCTACACCAAAGTTATACTAGCAGTAGGAGCCAGAGCAGCATAACTGCATCCTCAGCCTTCAACCACGCCTGATCTTTCAAATACAAAATAATAGTAGCCTGCATAAACAAAGACAGATAACAGGATGTGTAGACTGCTAACTTCTCAACTGCAACTATAAGGTAAAGGTAAAGGCTTTCCTTTAACATTAAGTCTAGTTGTGTCTGACTCTGAGGGTGGTGCTCATCTGAAGTTCTAGGCAGAAGACCTGGTATTGTCAGTAGACACCTCCAAGATCATGTGGCCAGCATGACTGCATGGAATATAGCTACCTTCCCGCAGAAGCGATACCTACTGATCTACTCACATTATCATGTTTTTGAACAGCTAGGTTGGCAGAAGCTGGGCCTAAAAGCAGGATCTCACCCCGCTCCCTGGATTCGAACTGCCGACCTTTCGGTCAGCAAGTTCAGCAGGTCAGTGGTTTAACCCACTAAGCCACCAGGGGGCCCCACAGCTATAAAACTGAACAAACATGTCCCAAGTAGTTATGTTCCTGTACAAAAAAATTACAGGAAGCCCACCTATGCAAAATAAGGTGATTCATCGATGTAGCTGAGTGCTGCCTACATTAAGAGCAGCTCTCCAAAGCTTGGTTGGGTTTCTGCCCCTTGTTATCTGTCAGTGCAACTGAGAGAACACATGTGATTTTCTGTATCCCAACAATGTGCTCGAAGTAAGTTATGATCTTTCACCACTACATTTGTAGTATTGTCTGTGAAAGGGCAAAAGCTGTACCTAGAGGGTCTAGCAAATTCTCACCTTGCACAGGGGTGACTACAGTCCCTTTGAAGTGTGGATTTATGTGTATGTTTTTTGGCTGCTGGGATGCCACTGGAGGAGGAGTCATCAGTATCCTTGGTGTTTCTAGCTGGGGTGGCATATGAATCCCTTGAGGGGGAGGGGGTGGTGTGTGATGCTGAGAAGGAATGGGTAGCAGACCCTGTAACTGCTGTTGCTGCTGCTGTTGCTGCTGGAAGAGGTTCCTAATGGGTTGCTGATGACGAAAGATCCTGTCTGAATGCGTCTGAAATGAAAAAGCAGAAGAATGCAGTTTCTTGGAATTTCATTACCTTACAAATGAAAAAACACCCTCATCTAAAGCACCTCATAAGAATATGGGATCAAACAAATGGATGGAGGGTGAATGTCATTTTAGCTTAAGACCACGGGAATAAAGTAAAATCTCCACATCAAGAGCCAGCATGTTGCCAAATACTAGACTTAAACTCCTTTGTTGTAGAAAGCAAGAAACCTCAGACCATGGAGGTATGTTGGGTCCCTAATGTAGCTCTATTACCCAGACTTTGAACTGGCCTTTTCCTATTCTAAAAGGTAAACATGTCTTCCCTAAAATTTAACTACTAGCAATTTAGAGGTGCTGATGGTCTGGTGTCTTGCTTGTAACCCTGTGGCATCACCATCCCGCTACCAAAGCCTATCAGGCTATGAAGACACCTGGTTTTGTACTACTTGAAAGGCTTCACTCTTAGAAGGTTCCTTCACCCAATTTTGGGAAATCCTTCCATCCCTCCCACCATTACCCAAACCTCAAATTCAACAGGGTCCCACTTCCTCCTCCTCAAGTCATTTGCCCGATTCAATAGTGTCCCCTGGCCTTCTGGGTAGCCGGAAGAGCTACCATGAGGAGGAGGTAAGTCAAAAATTTTGTTCCATAAATCCAGATACATGCACCCAAGTCTGGATAAGGTGGTGGTAAACTAAAAATTTTGAATTGTCTTCAACCTGAATGTGAATATATTAAGTGATGTTCCCATCCCAAGCCCAAATGGCTTTAACTGGCAGTGTGTGCATGTGTAGGATGAGGCACTAAAACGTGTGTTTCAATTCAACAACTTAACTGTTCAGCAGAGCTTTTAAAAGAAGCTGAAAGCAGGCTGTTTTCTCCAAAACATTATTTAAATACTAACATTTCCTGACCCTAAGCAGCACTATTGCCAAAATCATGACAGTATTTTTAGAATACCATAACAGCTGCCTGAGTCGCCAGCAGCGCAGGTCTGTGATCCTTCATTCTTCCCCTGTCATTGTTGTCTCTCCTTTGTTCTCCCATTCCACGAAACATTAAAGGCCCTCCTCGCCTTCCTCCTCTCCGTGAGCCGTAGCGTCCCTGCTTCATTTGTCTTTCCCGCTCTTCAAATTCATGTAATGCTGCCTTGGCTTCAGCTGAAAGCTCTGTCAGAGGAAGAAACAGGAATGTTTAAGCATCTACCTAAAGGATTAGAGAACTAAGTAACTGATATTGCAGCCACAACAGAATTGTATCTAGTTTCCCCTTTAAGAATAGGCTACCAACAGTAATATGATCTATCAAGGTTTAATTTAGCAATTCCATTGTATAATTCTATTTTGTGAGAAAAATAGCAAGAATAAAATGCTGTAGTTTCAAACACTGTTCCGCAACTGAACTGTTAAAAACCAATTTTCTCTCCATCAGTTTACTTTAAAACACAAACATGTATGGAAATTGTTTTTGTAGTAGCATTCAAGTCGTTTCTAATTTACAGTGACTCTAAGGTAAACTTATCACTGGGTTTTTTTTAAAGGTTTGCCTTGCTGAATATATGTTTCAATTGCTTCAAAATATGTAACATGAAACTACTTTAACTGGTTCTATGGTAAAAGCCAGGGAAAGGATTAAATTGCTGACCAGCAAAGGATGAAAAAGCACAAAATCAAGATTTAAACTTCAGTAAAATTATAAGATTGGGGTATATGCTTAAGATTATTTTTAACAGAATAAACACCTCCATTTTACCACCATGGGACAAACATTCAGCTCAGTCTAAGTATACTTTTTTCTATGCAGACAGTAGTCACTTCATCAGTAACAGACTACAAAAGCAGAACTACAGTATGAATTTTAGTTTCCAATTTTTTATCCAGACCACAAAAAAAAAATCAGAACAATAATATTGTGAGGCCTGGGTAAAACTAGCTCTCAATTTCTGAACTTGCAGCTCCTCTCTATCCCTGTGTAAACAAGCTGTATCCAAAAATGAGAAATTCCATTATCAATCACTATTATTTTTCTAACCTAAAAGGTTTTCCCCTTCATATTTTGAAGGAAGGAGACTTGTCATCATGTCTAAGAAATTAATTGCTTCATGAAAGTGTTTTCTTTATGCAACAGAACTGGGAAAATCTGGTATTTACTACTGCACTGTCCAAAACTATTTTTATTAGCAAACTGACAACCTTGTTAGGCTGTTTTATTACTGTTGTCTTGTGTTTTCCAGCCTTGTCAAAGGGAGGACAGCTGAAAAACATATCTGGGGAGACAGACTGCAGGGACCCATCGCAAAAAAAAATGAGAAAGGATGATGCCTAGCTGGACACCTTTTGCTGTTAAAAATGGGAACCTACTTTCTCCATGACTCAGGTGACTTTTGTGTGTGTGTGCCTTTAAGCTATCTGTCGGCTTATGGTGATCCCACAAATTTTATTGGGTTTCTTAGGCAAGGAATATGTAGAGTTGGATTTGCTAATTCCTTCCTCTGAAATACAGTCTACAACCCCTGATATCAATTTGTAGTCTCCCATCCAAATACCAACCAAGGTTGATCCTGCTTAGTTTCCAATATCAGACAATATATGATACATTTAGGATATTCATGCCATGAGGTCACTTATGAAACCAGAAGTGATGTGACATCATTTCCAGGACCTAGTGGGTAAGTGCAAAGGAGAAATGGCTTCTGGCACTGTTGGCCTTAAAACAAGCCCTTTTGCCAGGCAGGTTGAGACAGGGCTAGAAAGAAATCATTGAAAAGCACTTGACCTGCCAGAAGATTTCCCTGGTTTACATGTTTTCACCTAATCTTGACTGCAAAATTCTTTCACACAGAGCTAATGCAGTGAATCAGCAATTATTTTTCTAGAGCCTCCAAGTGTCAAGATTAATTTTGCCGCCCTCGGTAATAAAATGGTTTCAAATGACATCTTTAATCAGCAAGTAAGAATGCCTCCCTCCAATAGAGACAAGCTGTCACAAAAGGTCACCAAAAAGTGACAGAATGGAAATTACGTTTGTAATTCCAACTGAAATATTAATTTCTCTTTTTAAGTGTTTTCTCAACTTACATCCAGATTTTAAAGTAAAGAATTGTAGCTATATAACCAAGTTCCATTTTAATACCCATAATTCATATTAAGTACAATCAGTCCTGAAAGAAAGTAATATTTATAATGCCACTTCTACTGCATTTTTGCTTCTATGAGATCAATTCGTAATAACCATCAATTATTGCAGAACTCTTAAGGGTTCCAGTTGACAATGGCTCATCATATAGCAACTTTGGTATAAGCTACAAAGGTGTTAGAAGAAGACTTGTTTCAAATACTTCATTTAACTTTTTTCTGCAGTCTGCTAACAACAAATGTTTATTTTCACAGCAATTTCACACTCAAATTGTTGATCCTTAGGGTATCTGTGTAATTAAAGACCTTATATATTGAGGTCTGCAAAACAACATGCCGCAATTTTCACTTCTCACTAGTTTCAAGAACCTCCTGTACAACACTCATATTGACTCAAATAAGATTGACAAGAGAGATAGACAAAAAAGAAAAATAATGGCAGGAAGGCAGGCAACAAAAAAAGGTAAATGTTAAAGCTCAGCAGCCAAAGAATGTGTGATGCAAAAAAGAAATTCACCTGCTTCTGAAAAGCCATATGAACAGACCTCTCATAAAAGATCACGCCCAATCTCCAAGATCACGACCAAAAAGGTGTCCCTGTTCCTGGCACATGTTAACCATGGCATAACTAGGTCAGGATACAGAATGCTTAGTTGTGAGAGCCGTTCAGCAGTGGAACTCTCTGTCCCGGAGTGTGGTAGAGGCTCCTTCTTTGGAGGCTTTTAAACAAAGGCTGGATGGCCATCTGTCGGAGGGTGCTTTGAATGTGATTTTCCTGCTTCTTAGCAGAAAGGGGATGGACTAGATGGCCTACGAGGTTGTTCCAACTCTATGATTCTATGCAGAAGATGTACTAACACAAAATGGCACTCCCTAACAAATTAAGACTGCTTAGGCACTTAGGCATTGCTAAATATCTAGGATAGGGCATGAAAACAGTGGTGTGTCTTATGCCAGTAAGAGTTAGGCTGTAACATTCTGTCAGAAGAAAAAATCTGGTCCATCACGAAGAGCAGTTTCATATGTTTTTATCTATGTATTCTAATGATGCTGTAGGAAAGGTGTGTAAGGAATTAAATCTATCATCACCATCATGGTGTAGAGCACTCTATGTATAATAAACATATCAGGAAGTCACCAAGGAATGAACGATAAGAGTTAGGTCTATAACTTCCATCAAGCCATATACCAGGCAAACAACCCAGAAAGATAAACCAGGCCAGAGAAACGACTGAAGAACCCAACAATATCCCAAACATTTCCCTTAATTTGAAATTCTTCCAGGATAAGCATTTCCATAGTCAGATAGCCCACCAGCTTCTAAGAAATCTATTTAAACGAAGACAAAATGTATACACCAGCGGAGCCTCTCTGGATATAGGGATGCTCTTTAAATTTGAGAACATAGAGAAACAGGCATTCACCAACTTCCAGGAAGTACATGATAAAAAATTGGCATTATGTTTACATCTGTTTTGGTGAACCTATGGTGGAAGAGAGCAACAATGCCCCCCAATACTGCTGTGATGCTGCTGTGTGAGGAACTGGGAGGAGGCCACATCTTCTTTTGTAAATAAAGAATGTCATTTCATTTCCAAAAAAAAAAGGTATGTTCTGCCTACATGCCTTGTTTTCAGAAGAAATGGGAGGAAATTGTTTCAGCTATACCACCACAACATGGCAATGCTGGAGTAATTCTGGTGGCCATAACAAAAGGCTTGGGGGGGGGGGGGACGACATCTCTTTCCAGATGCTTGCTATTCACAAGTCCCCAAATTACTCCAGACCTGGAAATACATGCATTACTTTTAAATGAGACTTCAGGCACCAAGGTGCCTCTTGAAGGTATGCCCTCATCTGTAATATGAGTGAGGAAATGCATCCCTGAGGTTGTTGCACCCCAGGATATACAGCTCACACCAGCAATTTCTGTTTGCGAACTACGTCATGTTTTCACATTAATCTTGAAGATCAGAACATTTCAAAAGGTGACTTGTTTGCATGTACTTGCTCAAGATGACACACTGGGACTATAAATAATTCATTAATAACCCTACCGATTCCACCTTACTATGATGACAACATGAAACTGAAATTCCTTTCAGGTACCATCTTTAATAAGCCTATCCTTTTCAGAAATGGAGAGCTGGACAACCTGCTCCCCTGCTGAGCAAACAGACATGTCAACCTGAAAGCGAACACGTTTGTTCCTAAATTAGGAATGACAACAGCCATCTAGATACAAGGAAAATATATTCTGTTACTTGTATGAAATACCCAAGATTTAAAACTCAGGCCTGCCTTTTCCCACATGGATTTTTTTTCCTTTTCATACCTTATCCATCCTGAATAAAGTAAAAGATTTTAGCTGTAATTGCAGCATTTCAATGTATCAATCACCAATTGCTAGAAAGCAAATAACGATGTTTCCTTGACATAACATTGTTTAAAGAAATAGATCTTCCTGCCTTGTAACTGTTACCAGATACTATATCTATCTAAAACAACCCATTATTAACTAGAAAAGATACAGTAGAATTTAATAATAATCTAAAGGCAACGTAAGACTAAAAACAGATTGTGTATAACTGAGCAATTATTTAATATAGAGTGCCTTCTCAACACGAAAATACTCCAGAGTATTACACTAAAGAGAGGCAGATTTTTTAAAACAGCTTCAAAATTAATGCTGTTAATGTCAAAATTTCACCAACTCACAACTTTTCCTAAGCATGAAGACTTTTTAAAAAGTAGTGTGAAAAGTCAGGGAGAAATAAATTAACTCAGTGATTGATTTGAGACAGCTAATAAGCAGTTTCAACAAACACCCACATTTGAATTTCATGATTACGTACAGATACAGACAGCCCTTTTGGAAGTAATACATTTCTACTGATTAGTGTCAGATTAATAAGACTACCTGAGCATATGGCCCACACGCTCCCTAACTCTCTCCTGACTTGACCACAAAACAGGACATGTTTGGTTTTTCTTTTTTTAAAATTTAAAATGGAACATGTGAATTCTGGTTGATTTAAGATATCTGTCAAACAAGCAAGTATCAACCACATTGTCCCTGGTTTGCTTGACAAATATCTTAAATTAACTGCTAATATGGCTAAACGAAGGAGCTCTGCTTAATTTAAAATCCAAACCACCATCATCCCACCTATAATTGACACCTTGATTCATAATGATTTTTATGTTTGTGTGTGTGCAAATCCGAGAGTCACCGAAGCTTATCTTTCATCAAACTGATTAAAATGGCCTACTGCAACACACAAATGAAGGGAAAGGGGGATTGTGTTAAGTTACCTGCTTTGAGAAGCCTGTTAAAGAGCAAATCATGTTGCACAGTACGACTTGAACCTGTGTTCTCAATTCTGAGCAGTTGTTCTAAACTGCCCAAACATGTAAAAAATCACAAATTCTAGGGACTTCATCACTCCCAAAAATCTTACCCAAAGTTTCTGGAATGTTTCTTCGTTCTCTTGTTACATCTGAAAGCCTAATGATTGTTCCTTCCTTCCTTTCAGTTTTAAAACGGAGTCGACCAGACTCTTCATCATCATCTTCTTCCTCATCAGATTCTTCTTTAGTTTCTTCTTGAAGCTCCAAATTTTCAATAGCCACCTGCTAATAATAAATAAATAATAAAACACTTTATATCCTGCCACCACCTCCCAAAAGCACACAGAAGTGCAGCCCATAAAATACAGCAGTACATAAGCATACAAAACAATAACAATGTACATTTACATAACAAATTTACATAAACAACATATAAACCCTATTTAAAATTCAATAAAACTGGATGTATTCAAGTATCAATCCTATTAAGTGCAATCCATGTGAAACAAATCACTTCAAGTTTGACAGTTAAGATGGGAGGATATGAAGAGAGCACTGGTTTAACACATTTTTATAATATTTTCTTTAAAAAATTACTTTACAGGTGCAATAATTGCTACCAGGTACAATACTTGTTACTATGTACAATGTTTGTACCTGATAACAATCACAGAAACTGAACAATGGTAAGGTTTTCATTATTTGTTTAAAAGAGCTGCTGGTTGCATTAAACATACTAGAATTAGCTGTCAAATGTATTGATTGACTATTAGAAATTAACTGGCAAATGCAACTACCACGATAAGATGGGAATGTTTATGTTCAGCGTTTAAAAAAATTCTAGCACATGTGTGCTTCCCCAACACTCACAACTGAGCCTATTTTTTGGACTGATATGTTTGGATACATGCCTCAGTATCTGAACTTTTAATGACATTACTTACAAAGCCCTGCAATACTATTATTTACAACCACTGTAATACAACTACAATAAAATACTCCAAAATAAGAAATTGTCCACAGGGTGGCTGAGATACTGACAGCCCAGTTTTCTGATGGTTCAATATACATAAACTTCATTTTATGCATACAGTTATTAAAATATTTCAGCAAATTGCCTTCAAGCTATGTGTATAAAGTACACATGAAACACAAAATGTCTGTCATGTTTACCCCTGTGTTCCATCTCCAGAAATCTCATTGTATACACATAGGGAAGTATAAGTATTCCAAAATCCAAAACTCTTCTGGTTCTAAGCTTTTTGGATAATGAATATTCAGCCTGTACATAATATATATATGTGTGTGTGTATACATTTACATAAATAAAAATGTAATGTTCGTTTGTGGGATTAACATAACTCAAAAACCACTGGATGAATTGACACCAAATTTGGACACAAAACACCTATCAGGCCAACGAGTGACCATCACTCATAAAAATACAGAAAAACACAGCAGAAGAGACTTTAAAAGCCAAAAAATAAAAAATACATTACAACTCATGTGCAAAACCACATATACTCAAATACATATACACACACATACATATATACACACACAAAACACATATACATAGACTGGGCCACAGAAACGTGTGGCAGAAGGCTAGTGTGTATATAAGAAAATACAAATCATTACGTTCCCTCAATACTGAGGGAGCAAAGTGGGACCCTGAATAAACCACTAATTTTGGTGATAAGCTCTTTCTAAGGTCATACAGAATGAAAGCCAAACAGCCTGTCAAACAATCTAACCAGAGCTACAGCTTCCTAGTTCAAAAGAAAGTGAGAACTTCAAATCCTAAAAATGAAGAACCTTAAATCCAAAAGGATAATATAATCCCCTGCTTCAAATGATGACAGTGAAAGCTAAGAGTGGCAGCTAGTCTCTTGTAGAAAAGGAAAGAAAAAAATAAATGCTCCAGACTGAAATGAACTTATATCTGAGGCAATAATTGGTCTCCTCACGGACAGGTGCATTAAGTCATACTGAATTTCTTGTCTTCTTCAGTTGGCAAGACATCTGTTTACAGAAGGCCATGAAGTGTCAAGCAACAGATTATCTGCAGTATATATGACTTTTTAGACATTTGGTGTTCCTTCATCTCTCACCATTTATTCCAACCTTAAGCAAGAAAAAACTGGGCATGCAAACAGAATATCAGGACAATTGCTTTAGAAGGCTGGCATGATTTGCAAACACATCTAGATGGAGGAACTTAAACATTTGTGTCAGTTTCCCCAGTGAAGGAAAGAGGTGGAAACCAAGGATTTGAAACAACCAAATGTACTGATGTCTAATCTGTACAATCAGTAAGTACATCTTTTTTAAAAAGATGATGATGGGTTACCACCACCACCACCCCCCCCCCCCCCCCCCCCCCCCCCCCCCCCACACACACACACTATTAAATGCTCTGGAATAGTTTTGAAGTTTTGGTCATTTTAAGAAAATAAAAAGGAGAAACCATGTAAACAAATCAGGTTTCCATGTCATAAATTATGGAGGCAGATGTACGTTTCCTCTTCTCCCTAACTGCTTACAATGAACTCATTATCATCCCAGCTAACTGCCAATTATTCTTCATATATACATTATTATATTTATTTATACCTCACTTTATCTCTCCTGAAGGAGGCGCAAAGCGACTTAACATAAAAACATTAGTACACAATTTAAAGTATGCAGATGTGCAAACATTAAAACAGAATTAGATATAACCAATATTTTTTAAAAATCACAGTTAAAAACCATTAAAACATATTCAAAGTTAAAAAGTTACAAACACAGAGAATCCAAATATAGACATGAAGGACATTTTTTTCTGGGGAGGGGGAAATACAGTGGCTGGCCACTAATTGGAGAAGGCCTTGTAGAAGAAAAATGTGGGAGGAACAGAAGGTAAGCAGCAAAGGGAGTAGCAGGCAGTAGGCAATTGAAACAGAAGTGGCAATAACACTTTTACCAATGGCTTGAGGTCTTCTTTGATAATGGTAACAGCTATTTGGAGAACCCAAGTGCAAGGATTTCAACCAACCTGACAAAAATATTGAGCATCTCTCTGACAAAATAATGTGTTTCAAAAGGCAAGGTCAACATAGGATCATAGAATAATTTATCTTTGACTCTGCTTCAAAGATATAAATATTGACATGAGGACTTCCAAGGACAAACACAAGCCAGTAGATAATGCCTGCAATACTTAAATCCCATGCAAGTAAGCAATATTTTGCCTTTAAGATTTCAGTTCTTTTAAAGTACCTCTTCTGATTCATTGGGAGGCGTCTGAGCAGCGGCAACCTCTTCCAGCTCCTCTTCAGCAACATATTCCTGCTGTTCAATGACTTGCTGTTCACTGTAAGACTGCATATACTCTTCATCCTAAAAATTATTTCCAGAAAGAGTATTTTGAGTTGCTTCAGGATTGAGGATAGCAGTATTCAATCAGGTTGCTATGTTTCCTAACTTACAATCATGAGGAGGTCACAGCATTTCACAGTCTCTTCTATTCAATACGCACACAAGGTCCTTATGCTTACCTTAACAGATCTATATCAGAACAAGTTTTAAGCAGAATTCCCACTTAACAATGGTTTAATTTAAAGCTTGTTAGCAAACAGTGGTTAGGAGGAAATGTGGAGAATATTGAGCATAAGACCAACTAAACAATTAGTTGTGGTTAAAGGCTGTTCCATGAGGTCACGAAGAGTTAGAAGCGACTGAATGAGTAAACAACAACAGAAGGTAAAGGTTTCCCCTTGACATTAAGTCTAGTTGCATTTTGCTCTAAGAGTGGTGCTCATATCAGTTTCTAAGTCAAAGAGCAGGCATTGTCTGTAGACGCCTCCAAGGTCATGTAACCAGCATGACTGCATGGAGTGCTGTTACCTTCCTGCTACTGATCTACTCACATTTGCATGTTTTCGAACTGCTGAGTTAGCAGAAGCTGGGGCTAACAGCAGGAGGCTCACCCCACTCCACCAACCTTTTGGTCAGAAAGTTCAGCAGCTCAGTGGTTTAACCCACTGCACCACTAAGGGCTCCCTCAGTTGTGGTTAAGGCTGGCCAAAGAAGGCAAGTGTTAATTTGCACATCACTGGAGGTATTGGAGAAAGCATATGAACCCTCATCTACTGTTATGTGTCTGGAAATATTTACATCAGCAGTAACCTTAAATAGTACATGTTAAGCTCAATCCATGATATACTTAGTATAGCTCTTGCAAAAACAACTAGTTTATACAAGAAAAAATATTCTCTTGCTAGTCAATGTATTAGTTCATCAAAATTATTATAATTGCTGTAGTTAAGAAAAGTATAAACTAGACAATTACAATTCACAGCAATTCCTAAATATGGTAGGATTTCTTCCCAAATTTTAGTAAACAGAGTCTTGGTTAATTAAGAGGGGCATATCATCACAGTAAACTAATAATTATGTAATTAAGTGTGATAACATTGTATGCATATATGAGTAATTTCAAGCACCTATTATCTTGTAGATCACTATACAAGATATATAGTATTTTTGGTGAACCATGTGAATGTTCTGCCTATCATGCACTTTGAAAGATGGTACTAGAAATAAAGCAAGAGCTGCTCTCCTGGTTTTTCTGTCAAATATTTTTGATAAGTGCTAAAGTATTTTCATTTTGAATCAGCCTCTTCAGCAAGGTACTTTTAGTGAAAGAAATTATGCATGACATTTTCTGCAGTAACCTCCAATCTCTTTATTCAGGTTCAGACAGTTCTCAGTTACAAAAAAAGAGGGGTTGAAATGAGTGAGCAGGACATCAATCACTTTGGAATATTAGCACCTTAAAGATGTCTTTAGCAGGTCAATAATCTTTTCACCTTCGAAGGACTTTATCAGATCTTGTCTAAACCCTGGATAAAAGCTTTTGCATTAAGTATTTCTAACAATTGGCACTGTGTCTCCACCACACAAAGCTGTTTTCTTCCTTAAGGATACAATCCTCAAGGTCATGATTCTCAACAGCCTTCCAGAATGACAAAGGAGCATTACCTACAGCCAAACAAGCTGTCAACACAAACTTTGTCACAGCCTAGATAAAGAAACTGGCAGACATTGATAATAGGTCTAATTTTCCCCCCATCCCTAGGGAGGTAAACAGATTTCAAATCAGTCTAAAAACCTAGGCACGTAAAGCAATGTTATCTCAGAAAATACAATAGAGGAAAACTCACAGGAAATTCATCTAGAGGTTCATTGATTTCGAGATCTAACACTTCATCATTATAAATCTCTTCCTCTCCCTGATCTTCCCCATATTCTATTTGGTCTTCAGTCAGCTCGGTCTCTTGGCCTTCATACTGTCCTTCTTCTGTGTACTCCTCAGCATATTCTTCAGTCACTTCTGACTTGTCATAGCCCAGTTCATCCTCCCCTTGTTCATACTCTGAATCTTGTTCAATCGAAGTATTGTTGGCTCTCTCAGACAGTTCAAAGGATGTAACCATTCCAGAAGTAGCATTAAGACCAACAGCAACATCTTGCGCACTAGGGTAGAATCAAAATGAAAGAAAGGAGTTTTATTTTATTTTGAAATCAGATTAACCACAGTCTGAAGACAGAGTGCAGGTGCATGGCTTTTGTACAGCATGTACACAGATCACATAGACTCTGCACTGACTAGCAAAAATATATAGCTCTCGGATCAACTTGACTCAATGCCACAAACTCATAATATGCATACTTATACCAGGGCTTATCACCAGCTGCAGGCTATTTGACCAGAGGGATCAAATCAACCAGATGGCCTAACAGGTTAGGCTGGCAAGAAGTACAGAATAACCAAGCAAGCTGCCTTCTATTTTAATTCACAGACTAATAAATACACTGAGAATAAGAACTGTGCATGTTTTCCAGTTCTGCAACACTATCTGTTCATTGTTTTTATTTACATGAACACTGTTATGTATTCATTAGTTTGGGCTTTCATTTCTTATAGTGAAACAATGCTTCATAAAGATATGTTCTAACTTATCTCAAACTCAAATTCACATTTAGACTTGATAATCAACCACTCCAATTTTAAACAGCTTTTCAAAGTCTCCTATCTTGAATCTGACGTAAGATCTTTCAGGTAAGACAACAAACTGTTAAAAGAGTCAATTAATTCAGCTTTTAAAGAAGGAATTCGGAGCTATAATGTCCATCTTTATCTAATTTGCCCTACTTTGCAAATATCAACTCTCCTATTATTTTGGCTCTCATCTTAAGCCACATTAAAAGCATGCAGATGAACAACTTTATACAGAACAGAGTATGGGAACAGATTGCGAAACAATACTTAGAAGAGAGCAAGTATAGTGCAATAGTTTGAGCATTGGACTGCAACACTAGAGAACAGAGTTTGATACCTCTTTTAGTCATAGAAATCCATTGGGTGACCTTGGACGTGTCACACAGTCTCAACCCCAGAAAAAGGCAGTGAGAGGGATGCCATAACATGCTCACAACTTAAATGGCCACAGCAACAACAACACAGAAGAAAAATTATCAGGACTGCCTCTTAACAGAAAAAAAGGTTGGTTGATTAATCTTACAAGTTTAGTCAAGCCACTGATTGTATTTGCATAGGAGAAAAACAACAGTTCTAAACCATATTCTATGATTAAGATAAGGCACAGGTTTGTCATGAAAGAGACGTTCCCTCATGAAAAATAAAAAAAAGGGATGACTCTCTCCTGTAATGGTGCTTGACACCTCCATTTTTAGCGAGTCTGTGACATTAAAAATATAGAAAAGAATCTGTTGCCTGTTTCATTAGCAGCATCTTTTTCAATCCATTACAAATACATTACTGAAATGTACGCAAATATAAATAATATCTGAAAGTTGCACCCAAAGTTTATTAGGTCAAGACTTTTCATTGCTATCAAATTCATTTCTCCTCTCAACACGAGAACTATTTTCTATTTCCTTTTTTTTTTTACTTGAGCCAGCTCCTAAAGTGCATTCCTGTTTAAATTTTTCAAGCATGTTGGTCTCAAGCTTGCAAGTTCTACATTGAAATCCCCAGTGAGCCATGAACCATGAGGGGAACCTTTCTCTCTCTCTTTCTCTCTTGATGGGCCCAGAGAGGTAAGATCCAGGTATTATCAGGTGTGAACCCAATGTGGACTGGGCCCAGGGACCGCGTTATGCAATCCTTGGGCTCAACTCATCTAGCCATCCCCCCCCCCCCCCCCCCCCAAATCTCCTGGAGCATAATTTCCTTGCGCCAGGAGGGTGCGAGGAGGACCATAATGGAGGCCAGGTATAGCATGTAGACACCCACCCCCCAGGAAAGCCCAGCTTTTGAGGGGTGGGGATTTAAACCCACTTCGGCATGTGTTTAAGTCCTGTGTGGAAGCGCTCTCTGTCAGCCTAACCTACCTCACAGGATTGTTATGAGAATAATGCAAGGAAATTGAGAGTTCTGTAGTCCACCTTGACATTGTGGGAGGAAAGGGTAGATATAAATATAACTAATATTTTTTCCTGTGTCCGTTCTAGGTATTTATCTTACACTTACATTCTCCTCCTGCAGAATTAAAACATATAATGCTTGCAAATCCACCATTCCAAATTATTGAAGGGACAAAGCTAAAAAATCAAGTATATTACATGGCTCAAATAATAAGACGCACCTGAACTGTTGTTCCTCTTCATTGTCACTCTGTAGGAGATCATCATTCAGTTCTTCATCTGACATGTCTGACTGAGTCTAAAGTTTTAAAAAAAATGATCTTCAGGCAACCTAATACATAACATTTAGGAGCATAGCAGCAAACCTCTACAAGACATGCACAATGACCAGAATACCTTTGCAATTGGGGAAATTCCAAAACAATTCCACTGCTTTGTTCTGAAGCAACAATAAGCAGACTATTTTGCATCTGGTTCAATAAGTGTCAACTGAAACCATTTTCAGCAATATGGCTACATGATATAGAAGAAAAGCTAGACTAGAGCAGAGATGGTCAACAGCGAGCAGGTGGGAGCAATATTCCCCAGGGCTGCACACACTGCCAAAATTAGTAAAAATGAGAAAGCCAGACTGGAAATTATTGGAAACCCATTTCTGATTTGAGGAAATGTATTTGTTTTAAATGTTAAACCATATAAAGGAGCACTTTGGTCTGCTTAAAAGATGAACTGCTTCTCTTAGAAGCGCCTCCCTCTACTAAGGGAACTTTTACGCAAATTTGTAGGGAGACTCCCAAGAGAGGCAATTAATCCTTTCTCCCAGAAAACAGCGGGGCCAGGGCTACAAAAACAGTTGGGGGAGGGGGGCAGGCCACAGTACAGATGTTCCTATGCTAGAATGCTGGAATATTAACAGAAAGTCCAAATTTGTGTTTCTTCCCAGACATCCACTCAAAAGGTGGCCTTGGGTCAGTCACTATCTCTCAGCTTCACAACACTCTTTAGGGGAGTAATTAAAAAAAACAAAATGTTTCATTTTCTAAAGAAAACAATAACTTCAAACCCACTGGAATAAGAAATAAACTTCAAATGGTTGCTTGGAAAGGATGGGCACAATGTCTCACCAGAGTTTATGTGCAAAATGCTGATACCTCCCCCAATAAATAAAAATAAAACCCTCAAGTTCTCTCTACTGCGGGCCTATTTTAAGCATGAAGCATTTGAAAACAAACAGGAAATACAATTACAGCCTAAATAAAGGATATGTTTATTTTTTAAATTTACATTATGACATTTTAGGACTTAGAAACCCTGACTTTTTAGAGTCGGCAGTACTATCAATCAATCTACATCAAGACATCACAAATGATGTCATGAATACTGAATGGCATGCACTATATTTTTAAAAGAGACAGTTTATTACTCAGGTTATAGGAAAAGTCACCTTGTGATAGCTACAAAGATAAACTTTTAAATACATGTGCTTGGCAAAGTGAGTTTTGTTCAGCTGAAGGGTAAAGAAAACTGTGGTGTGTGTTCCTATTTGACATTTCATTCTAGAGGTTGCCAACTGGGAAAGTAAATAAGAAAGTTATAGGGAGACAGGAAGTGTGAGGAAATTGGAGGGCATTCAAAAAACAGAAAAGAATTGCTAAGGGCTGCAGCATCTCTTGTGCTGGTTTGAACTCTTTCCAAATTGTTAATTGTGATGTCAAAGAAAGCAGGTCAAGTTACCAAAAAGACCCAGACTGGAATTATTTATATAAAGGACAACACGTGCAGTTTTATATTCAACCAAGGAGACTTTTTAAAGCAAAAGCTTTGAGGAAAGGAGTTAAAGTAGCAACAGGAATGTTAAACAGAATGTGATTAACAAAACAGAAAGGGACTTCCACCACAAACAAAAATGCTAGAAGAACACAACTTGCCAACAGTGTAACCACAGACCACCACCATAAAAAGGGTGCTCAACATTTAACATGTTTTATGCCAAACATATGCCAACAACTGCAAACACAGTTGCCATTTCTGGAAACACTCCATGGTTTGTTGATATACTCTGTGTTTTTTGTAAACTGTTTTTATATGTTGTACATCGCCGCGAGTCGCCCTAGGGCTGAGAGCGGCGGTCAACAAATGCATTAAATAAATAAATAAATAAATAAATAAACACTCTACTTCCATTAGAAATCATGGTAAATTGTAAAACTGAAAACTACAATTCTGACATTAATGGATCCTGTACCCCAGCATCAATTTTTTGCACTTGTTTGGCACCGGTTAGCCATCTCATTTGCCAGAGCTGACAAAAGGGAGACACAAGACTATTAAATAAGTAAATCACTGAAACATGACATTCAGGCTCAAGCTTAATATGCCCTCCAATGAGAATGCAAAGGAAAAGTTTAACCTTGTTTAATAAAAGCAGCACATATTTCAAGATTCACGTACATAAGGAATCTTACATAAGCAACCTACTTTTACTACGGGTCTTTTTTAATATTGTTCTTGTTTTGTATATTATTTTGCTTATAACAAAAGAAGGAATAGAGAGCTGGTAAATGCATACATAAAAGAAACAGTGGTCAACAGGAGGGCAAGTTCTGTACTTTTTTCAAGATACCACATTAAAATATATGCTTGAAGGAAAAACACATGCAGATAGTTCTCAGAAATACCCCAATGTCCTCTAGAGACAATGAAAGTGAGTTCAACATTCACACAGAGACACTTTAAATAGTTTTCTTGTTTACCTTTTTGCCAGTCAGCAAATCTTCTCCTAGCAAGTCATCATCTAATTCACTGGAAGAAAAAGATAAATATAATTCTCAGTTCTTCAAAAAAGTGATTGAACTCTTTATACACATTATTTCTCCTAGTTTATCAAAAAAACGGATTGAGGATATCAGCAGAATTTGTATGCCAACTAGAAACCAAGAAGACAAAAAAAAACCATTTTATGTGTAGGGCATATATTATAACTTGAAATAATGCAAGTGAACTATAGAGATGTGAAAGCCTTGAGGAACTGAAAATTGGGTGAGAAGTGAAATATTTTTAATATTTTTCTTACAGCAAATTTTTGCACGTATCCCTTGTTGAGTAATCAGTAACCTTGCAGAAAAAAACTGCAAAGAAATATTCTCTCCTCTAGAATAAGTGAAATGATTAATATACGGTTTCACTTATTCAAGTGCCAGGAACTTCACAGTATAAGGAAGGTCCTGTACACAGAACAGTCCAATGCCACAGAACAAATCTGAGATTCATTTCTGCACATAATGGTTACTGCTAACTTCGTGGGAGAAGCATGCAGATCAGTTGCAGACTTCACCACTTGCAGATTAGTGCTTGTGTTCATGGGGTGACCATTATTATACTCTCTATCCTGCATCTGTCCTTTTTTAAAATTTGTCCTTCTCACATTTTCCCACAAATACTGGTGATGCAAATACTATACTACAAACTGAGAAACAAGCAGTTTATTTCCCTGACTTCCTGGAGGAAAACAAAACGTCAGAAAGAGGTGAGCAATAACCACAAAAGACTCAAAGATGAACAATTTGAAAAATAACTAGTCAAGGTCCTCTGGAGCAAGTGAACTACTTATAATGCAACTAGCATATAACACATGTACACAATTCTGCTTATACAAAACTAATGCTTCATATTTTTAATTACATAAACATGCCAGGCAGTTAGCATAAGGACAATAGTAACTTATAAATGAAATTTTTATTTTGCTAAATAAGTGTTCTACCATTTTCCTGGGCACATGTGATAAAGATGCATGACAGGAGCTTGTAAGTGACTGCTCCAAGGCTGTGGAGCTCTCTTTGATGTATGGCGACCCTAGGATCTCCTTATGTCTGAATAACCTGCACAGGTTATTCAGATAAGGGCTGTGCCTTCCTTAGTTGCATCAATTCATCTGTATTCCAGTCTTCCTCTCTCCTGCTGCCTTCTACTTTGCCAATTTTTTTTCATGTTTTTCAAATTATAGAATCATAGAATCAAAGAGTTGGAAGAGACCTCATGGGCCATCCAGTCCAACCCCCTGCCAAGAAGCAGGAATATTGCATTCAAATCACCCCTGACAGATGGCCATCCAGCCTCTGTTTAAAAGCTTCCAAAAAGGAGCCTCCACCACACTCCGGGGCAGAGAGTTCCACTGCTGAATGGCTCTCACAGTCAGGAAGTTCTTCCTCATGTTCAGATGGAATCTCCTCTCTTGTAGTTTGAAGCGGTTGTTCCGCGTCCTAGTCTCCAAGGAAGCAGAAAACAAGCTTGCTCCCTCCTCCCTGTGGCTTCCTCTCACATATTTATACATGGCTATCATATCTCTTCTCAGCCTTCTCTTCTTCAGGCTAAACATGCCCAGCTCCTTAAGCCGCTCCTCATAGGGCTTGTTCTCCAGACCCTTGATCATTTTAGTCGCCCTCCTCTGGACATATTCCAGCTTGTCAATATCTCTCTTGAATTGTGGTGCCCAGAATTGGACACAATATTCCAGGTGTGGTCTAACCAAAGCAGAATAGAGGGGTAGCATTACTTCCCTAGATCTAGACACTATGCTCCTATTGATGCAGGCCAAAATCCCATTGGCTTTTTTTGCCGCCACATCACTGTTGGCTCATGTTTAACTTGTTGTCCACAAGGACTCCAAGATCTTTTTCACACGTACTGTTCTCAGGTCAGGTGTCCCCCATTCTGTATCTTTGCATTTTGTTTTGTCTGAGCCACATCTTCTCATACTATGTCCAAAGTGTGATAGCCTCACTTCACTTACAGCAAGATTTCAGGCCTGATTTGTCTTAGGATTAATTAAGTCTTTTTAGCAGTATATGGCATCTGTACATCTCTTCTAAAGCATCACATTCCAAATGGGTTAATTTTCTTCCTGTCAGCTTTCTTCGCCACCTAGCTTCCTTTCACACACACAGAATCTCAAATACTGTGACCTGGAAGATTTTGACTGTAGTATTTAATGATATATCTTTAAAACTGACATGCTGGAATACTGTGCTCAATAACCTGTACCCTAACATCAAATTGGCAATCCAAATCACTCTCCAGTTGAAATTTCTGGAAATAAGGAGGCATCGTTCAAGTTCAGCTATGGAGACTACTCCCACCTTAGTGCTAAGCCACACTTACTAAGAAACAATTGTACACTTCCTAGAGCAAGAGTTGCAAGTGGACCTCAAAATATAATATAATAAGTATCATACGCTACCCAATATTATAAGATACCAACACAGAATTACATACACACCACTCCCTCCTGCAAACAGAGACACAAAAAGCCAGAGACAGATCTTAATAATATTCAACATGATTTAACTGACATGTACACAATCCACTATTATACATCTTTAGAATCATTCAGCTGTTTCTGAGAGCTATATCCTGACAAAGAAAATACAAGAGCTGAGGCAAGAAACAAAATAAAACATATAACTGTCATGTTAATAAATATTTAGTATACTCTGAAGAATTACTGTATAATATGTAAAGGTAATGTCAACATTAGATAACGTCAACATTAAAGAGAAAAGTCAATGTCAATGTTTCACCTATTTAAAAAAGGGTCAACAGAAAGCAATAGGAAGCATCTCGTATAAATGGCCCTGAAACAGGACCAGTAAGACAAGTCTTTACGTTCTGACAGGACTATATGGATAAAGGAGATCATACAGAAAATCAGGTCCCATTACATCTATGACTTTTAAAGTAAAGACCAGCAATTTGAATGAGGTCTAAAGTTTAGTAGAAGCCAGTGCAAATGCTTCTAAATCAGAATTATGTTTTCAGCTTTCAAGGTGTTCACTAGCATCTCTGCAGCCACTTCTAAAGAATCTTCAGAGGCAATGCTATGTAAACAACATTCCAAAAATCCAGTTTGGAAAGAAGGAATGCAAAATACAAAGGAGTCAATAAATGTTCGTGTCATGTGATGTGATGGGCATATGTGTAAAATGTGTACCCACACAGGAGGATTGTGGGTGTGAAAGAGTGAAAAGGAAATGTGGAGTGATCTGCAATGGCTGCACCCACTACTGCTATATGACTTCCACGCCCAGGAATTTAATCAGGCTGAAAGGCAGCCTTCCTACTGAAGAAGAATCTCTATTTCTGTTGTTTAGGGAGGCTATACATCTCCCCACTACTAATCACCTGACACACACTGCAGACATAACAACTTCATTAGTATATGAATTTGCACTTTAAAAAAACAGGGTACAAAACGAACCCCAGCAAGCAAAATGACATTCTATGCACAGATCTCAACATGAAAAATAAAACACCTTTACCTGTCCCAGTCATCATCTCCGGTCCTTCTCCTCCAAGATCTCTCTGCACCAGGCTTATCTAACTGATCAAAGTCATCATCTGTTAACAGAAAATATTCAGTGATTGCTACAACATGAAGAAAATACCTAGATTGTACAACAGCAGTGCTGACATTTTCTCCCTAGGAACCCTTAGTTGCTTCTTCCACATCTTTTATGGCAACAACTTGAAAACAAATCAATTCATTTAAAGAAGGTTGTCAGTAATTTAATTTTCCAATCTTTTTTGTTTCTTTGTTTTGGTGTTATTTCTTGCTTTTGCTTTCTGCCTTGTTTGATCTCTTCACAGCTTGTTATTTTACAATGTTTTTCTCAATTTTTTACCTCTTGTCTACTGCATATTTTTAAAAGAAACAATCTTTTAAGTTCTTATATATCAGCCTGTTATCTCAATGGAAACGCTAACATAATATGTAACAAACTTCCACAAATGAACACATATGACATAACAACTCACAGATCACAGTCAGTCAGAGGTGGAGCAAAAACCAGTAGATGCTTCTTTTACAGACATAAGCCAACAGTAGGCCATCACCGCTTTAATCAAATTATCTCAATTTAGGTTGCTCTCTTAAGCCTATGTATGAATACCAAGAGCAGAAAACATCTTGGGAAGCTATGCAACAGAAGTTATCTTCCCTCTTGATTTTTTAAAAATGTATTGATTGGCAAGATGTATCCATACAGGATTTTAGACATATTTGGTATTAAGGAATCTAAGAATGTCACTTAATAGAAGGCAAACACCACTAAAAATAATGGAACATGAGACTTCCCAAGTTAGAGTTTGCCAGATTTATTTAGAAGCCTAGTTTGCTTCTAACAAGCTCGATAATAATTGTGTTACAGTATTTTCGGTAGTGTTTACCTTCTCATAAGTGACATGAAGGAATTTACTATCCCACCTTTCTCCCACCAATATGGGACCCAAATTGGCTTACAACAGGAGGTAAAATATTGTTAAAACATAGTATAACACAGGGGTCCTCAAACTAAGGCCCGGGGGCCGGATGCAGCCCTCCAAGGTCATTTACCCGGCCCTCGCTCAGGGTCAACCTAAGTATGAAACTACTTGAAAGCACACAATAACAACAACAATCGTATCTCATCAGCCAAAAGCAGGCCCATACTTTACATTGAAATACTAATAAGTTTATATTTGTTAAAATTGTTCTTAATTTTAATTATTGTATTGTTTTTAAATGTTTTTGCACTATAAATAAGATACGTGCCGTGTGCATAGGAATTCATTTGTATTTTTTTCGAATTATAATCTGGCCCGCTAACAGTTTGAGGATCTGTGACCTGGCCCTCTGTTTAAAAAGTTTGTGGACCCCTGGTATAACACAACGTTTAAATACAGTTATAATTTGGTCTACATAAAACTAACCATAAAAAGCTTTAAATAAGGATGCATATACACTGTGGAATTAATGCAGCTTGACACCACTTAAACCGCCATGGCTAAATGCTATAGAATCCTGGGGCTTGTAGTTTAACAAGTTTTTTAGCCTTTTCTGCAAAACGTGTTGGTACCTCATCAAACTACAACACCCAGGATTCCATAGCACAGACCTATGACATTTAAAGTGAACCAATCTGAACTAATTTTACCGTGTAGATGCACCCCAGGAGAAGACAATGCTAGGCTAGATTTTCAGAGAACTTAACTCAATTTTCATCTACAAATCCATTTCATCTACAAATCCACTTCTTTTATCTTAACAGAACTGAGAGACAGAACAGACTGAAACATGAAGGCCCAAGATCATCAAAAAACACTGGATGCTATGTGAAGTTTGCAATCTGACCTTCACTGATTTAAACACAATATTCTTGCCATTGGCTGCTCCTTTAATTTCATAGACAAAAAATTCTACATTATTTAATAATTTCAAATAAAAACACTTCTCTGTGAGTTCTGCTTGTAGTAATAGAGAAATCCAAAATAAAATATTGAATTGTATTGTAATTACTATAACTACTGCCATAACACATTCTCAAACATTTCAAAGGCCACATATATCATAAGAGATAATTCACCAAACATTTAACTGTTAAATTCCACAAAAATTAAAACTGGAGCTGTGAAATCAACTTTCTATAAAAGTAACTAATTGGAAGAATAAGAGAAGGCAAATGCAACCCCCCCCCCCCCAAAAAAAAACCCTAAGTAGATAAGGATTGTCACATATACTTTGCATGGCTTAAATGTGTAAGTTTATAATATTTCTGAAAACCTAACTTTTGCTTAAGACATTTATATGTGTTTACAAACATTTTTAAATGAATACTATATATCATAGTTTGTTGTGTTGCCTTATTTCTACTATTAATGTTTCGACATATTATCTTAGTTCCACAAGAGGAAATATGCCTAGGATCCCAACAAAGATATGATAAGTGTTACTGAGAATTGCCAAGTAAGAAAATATGAAAGGGTTTGAGGTGAAAGTGAGTAACCCAAAAGCCAGCAATAAACTCTGGGTGTTAGGAAATTAACATGAATTCAAAAGTCTTTGCAGGACTTTTATTTTGCTTCTTTTTACTTAACCTTTTAAATAGAAATAACATCTGAGTAGCATCCTAACACTTGGAACACTGTAATAATGAAGCTACTCAATGACAAAGATCCAATTCATAACATTTCTAAAAATTCCTCATTTCAACCAATCACCATCATTTATTGTACTATAAACACCAGACAAGAGTAGGTACTCCTCTGCATTCCCAGAAAAAATAATAAATAGTGACACTCCACTAATCAGATTAATCTCTTGTGCTTTCCTGTCTTCAAATCTTCATAAACATTGCTCAGTGCAAGTGGCTGATGTCTGCTCTTTTCTGGCAGCAGCCACCAAATGCCCTGGACAGCTCCTACAGCCAGCATTTCCCCCTCATACATATCATACTACTTGCACTGTCCTCCTTTATGTTTTCCCCACTTCCACCTGCCCATCAGTTGTCAAAAATACTTTGCATCCTTAGCTTCTCCATCCTTTTGAGGCCAGCTACCCCTCCAGTGATTCCGAAATACCTAGTTCAGCAAAGCCGAGGCTGGTACACTCCCTGAAACTGAGTCAGTTGCTCTCTCCTCCCCTAAAAAATCTCACCACCCCTAAAAAATCTTGTAAGGGCTCTTCCACGCAGACATATAACCCAGTATATCAAGGCAGATAATCCACAATATCTGCTTTGAACTGGATTATTTGTGTCCACACTGCCATATAATCCAGTTCAATGTGCATTTTATACAGCTGTATATAAGCCAGTCCCCTTTCTAATCAATTTTCCCTTTCTTCCAAGTAGCATGACCATGCAGCAATCAATCAGTCCTCCCTTCGAAGCCCAGAATTCAGAGACCATGACTAAATGCAACACAACAACATTTATTTATGATGCTCCTTTCACCAAAGTATGGAATATCAAGGTATGCCATCAAGGACTACACATATAAATGAAATTACCAACATCCCACTGAAACAATCTCAGGCACAAAGCAGCTAAACCTGGTCTTCAATCCCTTATAAAAACAAGTGATATCCTCCTCTAAAGGAAGTTGATACCACAGATGTAGTGCCAGATCTTAAAAGGCTTGAATGTTTGACAGGAGTTGTGCACATTGGTAAAACAAAAATATCTTTTGCCTACAGATCAAAGATTCCTAGATGGAAGATTTATTGTACACCATGATATGCTTAGATTCCTAACATGTCACACTAGGCAAGTTGTCAGGTACTGAGGAAAATTAGAACAGAGCTTTAAATACTGGAACTAAAAGTCTGAAATAGACCTTGTTCCAAACTGTCAGCCAGTGAAGAGTTCAATGGGGGAAGAGACACATTAAAATAAGGGTTTAAAATAACCCTTATTTTATTTATCTCGCCATTACTATTCAATCTTGGCATGGACACTGCTACAGCAGATTTGCAGACTATGCATTCCTGGACATTCCTATAGGCAGATGACATAACACTCTGTCACCAAAAACATGCAGCCCTCCAACAAATGCAGACTGGGAGTGAAAGACTAAGGTCCCTTTCACAAAGCTAAATAAAATCTCATCTTTTCTGCTTTGAACTGGAATATATGGCAATGTGGACACAGATAATCCAGTTGAAAGCAGATATTGTGGGATTTTCTGCCTTTGTATTCTGGGTTATATGGCTGTGTGGAAGAGTCCTCAGTAGAAATGGACTTCAATTGAACATGCCCAAAACAGAGTAATTGGAATGCACCCTTCAAACTGGAAAAACAATTCAAATTAATGTATAAGCACTAAAGAAGGCCACCCAATTTAAATACTTAGGGTCACTGGTCTCCATAGACAGCGATACAATGCCAGACATACGGTCACGAATAAATGCCACCTGGTTGAAATGGCAGCAAACTCTGGCATTCTGTCAGCCCTTCCACACCTACAATAACTGCTCTGAACTGGGTTATCTAACTCCAGACTGCCATATATTCCAGTTCAAAGCAGATAATGTGGGATTTTTTTAACCTGTGTGGAAGGGGCCTGTATGACTCAAAAATGCCTGAACAACTCAAGGCCAAGTTCTAATAAATAATAATAATAATAATAATAATAATAATAATTCTTTATTTATATACCATCCTATCTCCCTGCAGGGACTCAGGGCAGTGAACAAAGTCAGCAAACAATCAATGCCATAAAAAAGAAAAATACATAAATAAATAACCATCCCACCCTAAACCCTCGCAGATCCATATTTAAACAAAAAAGACTAAAAAATAACATGTAACATTTACAATTCCATAGTAATCCATCAAGAAAACAGAGGAGTCAGACCAGCGAAATAAGTTTAAACTTTAAAATGGACTATAAAATTAATTACTGCCAGCAGCCAGGGTGAGTAGTCCATATAACATACTAAGCCTGCTCGTCTTTATACGCCTGAGCACAAAAGAAAGTTTTTAGTTGTTTTTAAAGAAGTCTAAAGAGGGAACTGTTTTAATCTTTTTATGGCGAGAGTTCCAAAGGTGGAGGGGGGAGATGGCAGAGAAGGCCCCCTCTCT